AGCATAAAAACAATAATTAAACAAAGTGCGGTGCTCTTGATGTTAAGTCTTATTAGTCCAAGATGGGTTCCATTTGTCAACCTAACCTGACGGCATACGTTCTTCGGTCATCTAGGAGTCTTCCCAGGGCCGGCTCACCTCTAGGTCTAATCCACCGTCGAAGATGGCACCTCGGTGGTGGCACAATGACGGCTGCGGCTCCTATGCAAAGGCCTGGAGGAAGAGCTCTGTCTTACAGACCCTGCGGAACTGCGCCAGGTCCCGCAGGGCCCGGATCTCCTCTGGGAGCTCGTTCCACCAGACAGGAGACGCCGCCAAGAAAGCCCTGGCCTTGGTTGCAGCCAACTTGATGTCCTTGGGGCCTGGAACCACCAATAGGTGCTGCGCCCCTGACCGTAGTGCTCTTGGGGGAACATATGGGGAAAGGCGGTCCCTTAGGTACGCTGGACCCTGGCCATCAAGGGCTTTACAGGTAAGAACCAGCACTTTGAAGAAAATCCGGTATGCTATAGGCAGCCAGTGCAGCGCCTTCAGCACAGGCTGGACATGGTCCCGTCTAGTGAGACCCATCAACAGCCTGGCTGCCGCGTTCTGTACCAGCTGCGGCTTCCAACCTTGAGGTGACCGTTGCATGGATCACTGTGGCCAAGTCTTGCGGTAAAGGAAAGGAACCAACTGCCGCACCAGCCGAAGATGGTAAAAGGCTGACTTGGCAGTAGCTGCCACCTGGGCCTCCATCAATAAGGAGGAGTCCAGGAGCACTCCCAAACTCCTAATCCTCGACACTGGCACCAACAGCGCCCCATCGAAGGCTGGGAGAGGGAGCCTCAACCCCGAACCAACCCGACTTAGGCCCAGGACCTCCGTCTTCACCGGGTTTAGCTTCAGCCAACTCAGTCTGAGCCAATCAGCCACAGCTTGTAATGCCCAATGAAGGTCATCTGGGTCGGAGTTCGACTGGCCGTCCAGCATCAGATAGAGCTGGGTGTAATCCGCATATTAATGACACCCAAGCCCAAAACTCCGGGCAATCTGGGCAAGGGGACGCATATAGATGTTAAATAACATTGGGGACAACACCGCCCCCTTAGGCACCCCACACTCAAGAGGATGCCTCCGGGACTGCTGTTCCCCTATCGCCACCCTTTGTCCCCGACCTTACAGGATCTAGGCAAACCATTGAAGGGCGAGCCCCTGAATCCCCACGTCGGCAAGGCGGTGGGCCAGCAGCTGATGGTAGACCGTATCAAAAGCGGCCGACAGATCTAACAACAGCAATGCCACCACACCACCTCGATGCCTACGGAGGTCGTCAGTCAGGGCGACCAATGCCATCTCCGTCCCATGACCCAGGCGAAAACCGGACTGGAAGGGATCTAGGACTGAAGCATCCTCCAGAAAGCCCTGTAGCTGTAACACCACCACCCTCTCTATAAGTTTGCCCAAATAGGTCAATAGTTGGCCAATTCGGTCGGGTCCAAAGATGACTTTTTCAGGAGGGGGTGGACCATCGCCTCCTTGAGTGCTCCGGGGAACCGTCCCTCCAAAAGGGACTTGTTGATAATCTCCCGCAGGGCACCTCGAAACCCCTCGTGGCCCACTTTAATGAGCCAGGAGGGGCACGGATCAAGGTCGCATGTGGTTGGGCGCACAGATACGAGCAGTCTGTCAACTTCATCCAGGCTGAGTGGGCTAAAACATTCTAAACCCGGAACCGAAGGCGTGCAAGGGGCCTCAAGTTTGCTCACTGTATCAATTGTGGCAGGGAGGTCGCGGCGAAGCGCCAAGACTCTATCTTCAAAATAGCTCGCAAAAGCCTCACAGTCAATGTCCAATTCCCTATCATTTCACCTGCCCTGGGGCAGGTCTGTCAGAGACCTAATCGTACTAAATAATTGGGCCGGGCGTGAGCTAGCAGATGCAATCGAGGCCGCATAGAAATCTTTCTTCGCCTTCACTGCCATCTCATAAGCTCTCATAAGCGTCCTATACAATGTTCTTGACGCTTCGTCGCGAGCATGCCACCACCATCTCTCTAGTCGTCTCAGCCCTCATTTCAGCTGCCGCAGTTCCTGGGTATACCAGGGAGTGCGCCTAGAGCGAGTGCGGAGAGGATGCCTGGGAGCGATCTCGTCGATGGCAGTGGAGAGCCGAACATGCCAGTCCTCCACTAGCTCATCCAACGAGCCACCAGGGGGCCTTGGATCCCGCATTGCCATCTGGAGCCGCAACGGGTCCATTTGACTCCGCGGGCGAGCATAAATCTGCTCGCCGCCCTCATAGGGTCGGGGTAATACATTCAGATGGGCCTTCAAGGTCAGGTGGTCCGACCATGGCACTGCCTCAGCAGTGATCTGGTCCACCCTCACCCCCGCCGCAAAGATCAAGTTGAGCATGTGATCGGCCTGATGCGTGGGGGCCGATACAAATTGCGAGAGCCCCAGTGCCGCCATGGACAACACTAGGTCCATAGCCCGGCTGGAGGTCGCGTCCTCAGCATGGAAGTTGAACTCATCCAAGACAATCAGTGTAGGGTGCTCCAATGCCCAGCCTGATACAGCCTCCAGCAGGGACAGCAGGCTATTGGCCGGTGCATTAGGCGGTCGGTACCCCAGCCAAATTGCCGAACTCTCCTCAGCCTCCAGCATCACGCTGACACATTCCAAGCCCGCGATCTCTACACTCAGGAGCGCCCTGAAGGAGTAAGCCTCCCGAATGAAAAACGCCACTCCTCCCCCCCGCCCCCTAGTCTGCGATTGGTAAAGGACCGAGTAACCCGGCGGGGTCATTTGGGTGAGAGTGACCATCTCTTCCTCCCTCGCCAGGTCTCGGTCACGCACGCCAAGTCTACCTGTTGTTCAATCATAGAATCCCGTAGGATTGAGGTTTTGTTGTTAATGGACCTGGCGTTGCACAATACCAATGACGGAGGGGTTTTTTGAATCCTAGCCCCACTGCCAGCTACCCTTGGGATGGGTCGTAGGCTGGAAGGGCGCCGAGTCATTTTATATCTCTGCGTCCTTCCCTTCCTATACTGCCTAGGCCCACCGCTAAACTTCCCCCTCCCCAAGAGCATCTTGGGATGACACCAGCACTACTTCTGTTAATTTGCGATGTGGACATCGGATCAGAAAGAAGGTCACTCTAGTTCAGGATTCGGTTTTCAGCAGCAGATCCTTTGATGCCTTCAGGATGCTGTCAGGCCAGGCAGGCAAATATCAGCCCTCCTCTGTTAATTGCCCCAAATACCTCTTGCTAAAAGATACCTTGCCTCTAGGCTAGTGCCTATCACTGCATCTTGTGGCAAGGAATTCCATAAGCTGACTATGTGTGTTCAGCCTCCCCCTGTTCTAAAGACAGTCACACTCTCCTCCCTCCCAACTCACTGCAGGAGGAAGTAATAGTTTTGTTAATACTTAGCATTTACCCAGTGCTCTGGAATGATCAAAGTATTATCTTTTGTAATCCTTATAATACCATGCGAGGACAGCCATACTTTCCCTGTATGGCAGCTGGGCAGCTGAGAGTGCCTTGTCTGGGTCCATCTACCTGGTGGAAGTGTGATTCAAACTCAGGACTTCCTGATTTGTAACTCAGTCTCTTAACCACAAGGCAACACCGACTCTCTGATTGGCTAGTAGAAGACTCCCACATTTGCTTAGACCAAATAGAACACTGGGAAAGTCGGAATGCAGTGGTAAGCCAGTCTTTCTGTACGGTCACCAGTTGATTCAGTAACCTGGCACTTTCTCATTTAAAGCTGCCTTTCCATTCATTTGCAAGTGTATACCAACAGTGTCAAGTGGCTAGTGTGCAGGGCTGCCAGCTTTTAAACTGGTCCCACTAGCTGTCTTTTTAATAGCAGTTTGTTCTGCAACAACTGGCAGGTGATGTCCTTTAGCTCCATGCTATGAAAAGCTTTAACTGCAGATTTCTGCATATTAGACCTCCCCTGGCCAGCTGGCAACCTTAGTGGGCCGTGTTTTACATGGTAGGGTACAATTGTGCATGTCTGATGTCTAGGCTTCTCCTTTGTAGGGAAGTAGAGCACAGGTGGCCTCATGCCACACAGATCCAAAGAATGCATGCTCCTGTTTCCCTGGGATAACGGATATTTTCTGGTCCTCGTTCCTGATAACCTCCGTTTCTAATTTGTTCCTGTTTTCTTCGGGGTTTGATACTTCACTAGGGTTTTCAGGAATTAAAAGGGCCATCCTAAGCAGAGTTACAGAGTAAGCATAGTTGGTTTCTAAGGTACCACTAGACTCGAATCTAGCTCTTCTGCTGCAGACCAACACAACTGTTCTCTAAAACACCTTGCTAAGTTTACTGAAGTCAGTGTGGCTTAGGGTGTAACTGCTTAGGATTGCAGTGTAAATCTGAGTGTGTACATGTAAGCCAGGCAAGTGCATGAATGTAAGGGCTAATTTGTTCCTGTTTTCTAGGGGTTTGATACTTCACTAGGGTCTTTAGGAATTAAAAGTGCCATCCTAAGCAGAGTTATAGAGTAAGCAAAGTTGGTTTCGAAGGTACTACTGAAGGTAAGGGCTCCACTGCCTCTCCACATACCCCCGGCAGCTGCAGAGTTCTGTTTTGAATTGCTGGTAGCAGACTTCAGGATGTTTTCCATGTGTGTTTGGGGGGGGAGCCTTGGGATAGGAATTGGGGTCTTAAAAGCAGGTTTCTGTTTTCATCTGTGTGATTCCGGAGGGTATGACAGAAGGAATCTCAGCCTCATAGAGACAGAGAAGATGGGGAACCAGGTGGTATGAAGTTTGGAATTGGGGGGGGGATTGTTCTGGCTCACACATTACACCAAATGAAGTGGAAGAATACTGGTCAGTATCCCTTCAGCCTGCAGGGTAGGGATCGTGTATGTGCTCTTTCCTGTAAAAGACCTTCCAAGTTAGTAAACTTGCACTTCAGGGAGAAAGATTTCGCATTGCTCTCTCCCTGGTGTGCTAACATACTAATAGTGGGAAGTTGGTTTAAAAATGGGGAAAAGCTTTCACCAGCTACCAGTCCTGGTGGTAGTGACAGAGAGATGATGGACCAGAAGACAACAGAAAGGCCAGCAGGCTAGGAATGAATCCTACAACATCAGAAATGGTGAAATGTTTACATGGAAGAGGAGGAAAAACAGTAGCTCCCACCTCCTGGCTGCTGAAACCACGCCTTTTGAAGTGATAGACCACATCTCCTTTTATTCCCCCCCAGAGGGACAGCAATTCATCCATAGAAACCCCGTAAACATTTCAGTTATTTGAACAATGAAAATATACAAACCAAATACAAGTTTATTGTGTTGTTTTCTTTTTCTTTACAAGCAGGACTCAATCTGTTTAAATCACTGATCAGACACGGATGACTATCATGAGTATACTTCCTGCCTGTATGAGAGTGGTTTTTTTTCATAACTGGTTTCTCCAAAAAGATTAAGGGGGATGAAACTACTCATTGTCTCCCATTTGTAAAATTGTGGGTATATATCCCCAAGTCTTTCCCCCCACCCCCATAATTGTACTAATTCCAACCAGGATCCAATGTGTGATTTTTGTATTTCCTCCATAGCTCCCAAATGCCAAGCCTGATTGAATTCCACCCCAACTGTCAGCCATTCTTACATATGCCCACTTTCCACCAGCCATTGCAAATGTGCCATTCACGGGTGTTTGATGCACAGACTTTAGTGGGTCACCCAAGCTATTTTCCATGCTGGGAGAAACCTTAACTGCTGACTGCTGAAGACTTAGGTGCTCAAAAAGACATAGGAGTAGCCAGTTGGTTATTTTTCCTCTGGTAAGTTGGCTACCGCCATTACCATCCAAACTCATTCCCGACTCTCAGGGGAAGGAACTGTCCACTGAATAACATGCAGTCTTAGAATGGGACAAACACAAACCTTCACAAAAGCACAGTCAAACCAACGGATGCATTAAAAGGGTCGTAAAGGAGACCTGCAAAAGCATCTCAGCAAAACAAGAGTGTGCACGTGTGAGAACAACTGCCTTGCATTTGGGCTGGAGAGAAGTCGACACAGGAAGGAAAAAGAATTGAACATTGGAACAGCAATGGGAGAGGAGAGCGTACAGATCTGAGGCAAGCCCCTCCATTCAAAAAAATTGACATGATGCAAATCATCCTTTGAGAATGAGCTGCAAATTCGGAAGGGACGACGTGCAGAGAGGGTGGCGCGGATGTCCGGAGCACACTGCGAACAGGGAATTATTCTCATTTCGCATTCCACAAGGTGTTAATAGAGCTAGAGAGCTGTGGCGGTCCAATGTCAGCATCAGGGAAGTCAAGGAGAGATTGTCCAGAGCACTGCAGTTCCATTCTTCTAAATGTCACTAGTCCAGAAAGTTCAGCCGGTGAAACCCTCCAGCCTGGGAAATATTCCACATGGGAAGAGGCGTACATACTGCAATATGATGCATTATGGACATAGGCTGCATCTCTGACATACTTTAAAATGGGGAGGGGGTTTGCTCTAGGATAGCATTATTTAAGAAATACTGTTTACTTATCTCATCATACAGCACTGTGACCAGCAACAATGACCGGTCTCTTCACTAGTGACGTGCCTCCAGGTTAATTGATCAGTCTGGGCTGGAGGATCCCTCCTTTTTCTCTTCTTCATTGGGGATTCTCTATGCTTTTCCCAGAAGGCTTGAAGACGGCAACCTTTCATGTCCACTCTTGGTCTTCAGATGGCATACTGCATTAGCGTAAAAATAGGAGTGTGTGTTTGTTTCAAAGAGAGGTGAAGGGAAAGGGAGATGGATAGAGAGGGGGGAAGAGGGAGGGAGAGAGAGAGAGTTTGATTTCAGATTTAAATTATTCATCTTGAAGGCCTAATGGATGTTTTATTTAATGGTCCTTATGCCTATTAAACAAACAACACATTGCATTAGCGGTTCAATGCTCTTTTCAATCAGGAGCATTAAGCCTGCATCGGCTACTGTCATCTTGCTGTCTGTCAGGCCTGCATTGTGCATCAGGGAGATCAGGGGGTACTGAAGAGCTGATAAGATTCTTGATTGTCAGGAAACAACTCAATGTTTACTAATGGGTTTTGCTTTTCTTTTTAGTCAGGATCTTTTATTTTCCTTTTTTTACCTTTTACATAAAGCCCATGGAGCACTTCCTTCTTTAATCACGGAAGAAACAATTTCACATACTCTGGATCATTAGCAGAGGTGCTTGTCTTTGACCTTGTGGTACCACAACATGGACCGGTGCCCAGTTGGATGTCCAACCTGCAGATGAGTTGCAGAAGGAAAAAAATACCCCACCATGTACTCAAAAGCCCCACCCACTGATTTCTACATAACAAGGCACAAGAACAGACCGGGCCAATTTTTCCCCCTGGTCATCTGGCAGCACTACATCAATCTGGTCTCTTGTCTAGAGACAATCATATACCAACAAAGGGAGCAGCAATGAAATGACACCTGAACACAATGGATTGCTGCAAAGTGCATACAATTAAAAATAATAGACAATAATTAAACAATAGTACTGATGAGCTTCATGATGTTTTAATCTTTGTTTTTCAACAATAGGGCGCCACCAAACAGAAGATGATGACGTCAAGATGAACGGACGAACCTCCCGAGTTACCGTTCGTTTCGAAGTTTCTTTATCAAACAGGTCTCAGTTCAGCGTTCTTGTGCAATAAAGTCAACCACAAGGGTGTTCTTAAATTCAGATAACTTCTTCCACAGCTCTTTGCTAACAGTTACACCTTTCAATCGGACAACAAGATTAAAACATCATGAAGCTCATCAGTACTATTGTTTAATTATTGTCTATTATTCTCTTGTCTAGAGAGCCTTTGCCTCTGTCAAGAATCTAATCCTACAAAGCATTAAATAATAACATGTGCTTGATATGATGATACCCCCTCACTTCTCCATTCAGTACCCCCACTCCTGGTGGTGATGGAAAGTACCACCAAGTCGCAGCTAATTTATGGCGACCCCATGAGGTCTGTTGTGGGGAGGGGAAGGGAAAGGACTTTGTAAACCGCTCTGAGACTCCAAGTGAAGGGCGGGGTATAAATCCAATCTCTTCTTCTTCTTCTTCTTCTTCTTCTTCTTCAAGGCAAGAGACGTTTAGAGGTGGTTTGCCATTGCCTGCCTCCATGTCATGACCCCGGTATTCCTTGGAGGTCTCCCATCCAAATACTAAGCAGGGCTGACCCTGCTTAGCTTCCAGGGTCTGATAAGATTGGGCTAGCCTGGGCTATCCGGGTCAGGGCGCCTTACTCTTACCCTCCACAATTGTAAAGTCCAGCTTTGGATTTAGAACAAAACATGAGACCTGAGAGGTCTGGGTAAAAAAATCAGCAATTTTGCATGGATGGAATGATTCGCGTAACTTGCGCACAGCACATGATGAGTAGCCGTGTTAGTCTGTCTGTAGCAGTAGAAAAGAGTAAGAGTCCAGTAGTGCCTTAAAAACTAACAAAATTTGTGGTGAAGTATGAGTTTCCTGAGTCACTGCACATGAAATTTCCTTGTTACCAAACCCTGATTCTGTTTGGGCGTTCTAAAAAGCCAGGCTCTAAAGCTATGGTAGTGTTTGTGAAATAAGCTTAGCAGAGAATGTGAAGCTCTCCCACCACTTCCACTAGCATGACCTCATTTCACTGGCGGTGGAACAGAATACGTTTTAAGACTCATGAGAAGTTGATCTGCTTCACTAACTCGAAAGGGAGGAGGTGTTGGGGAAGCTCTGCTCTTGTTGTGCCAGTGATACTGCTGCGACCCTGCACTGCCTTGGGAACAGCAGAGTGGCCTTGGCTTTAGCTAATGGATCAGGCCTGGTTGTTGATGGGAGACAATGGACAGTAATGGGAAAACAGGCTCCAGTGAGAAACCTCTTATTCCAATCACTTCCAGTCACTCCTGCCTGATACTGAAGCCAGTTTTGCCTGGTGTGGTTCAGTTAACTCGGAGGTTTCTGTGGGGAGAACCCATTTTGGGGGGGGGTGTTGGATGAAGAAATTTCAGCTGGTGTGAATTGTCATGTTACTCTCATAGGGGCAGGAACACTTTACAAGTTGACCTCATTTGCCCCCCTAGTTCTCCTTTACAAATGTTGGGGTTAATTCCCCAAGTGGTCTCTGAACCCCCTGAATGTCCTTGAATACTCTCTGCATATTTAACTCCCAATGGTGTTTCCTAACAATAGAAATTTTGTAGTGTTTGAGAGGGGGCTTGGCAACTGGAAAACAGTAATGGCAGGTAGGTACCACAGAGGTGCCCAAATTTTCAACCTGAGTTATCAGCCACAGGATTCCAGCATATCGCAAAGGATTCTGGGCCATTTTCTGAGTTCACAATCCATTCACACAGGAATGCTGGGCCTCCAATCTAGACCAAGCCATCTCCTTTGTTTCCTTGTGAAAGGAAGTTATCTAGTGATGGGCAGGCTATGTTTCAGCCATTCTTACTAAGCAATCCTTGATAATTTCCCAAAGAATCCAGAGTTCTCTAGAAGACAGCTTGAAAATGATGGTGTGTGATCATGCTGCAATATTTAATATTGGACAGCATTTGATAGTTGACATGTAAAGATATTTCTTACTATCACCTTTGCGGGATACCATGTGGCATGCAGTGACCCTCAGAGTACAACAGCATTAGCCAGATAACATGCCATGGTGACAGTATAATTGATGAATCTGATATTTTGACCTCCAGAAACCAAAACCAATTGACAAACCCGGTGGATTGACCGTAATTTATTTATTCATTACGGGCTGGATCCAACCAGATTTTTCACTCAATTTTACCCAATTCCTCTCCTCACTACTGCACCCTTCCCACATGGCTTTTGTCCAAGCAGATCCCAGGATCCCTGGCATAATCATTTTGGCGGTCAAAGGGGACCCCCCTCCACCATTTTCACCAGTGAAAAATCTGGCTGGATTCAACCTAATATTTATATTTTAACTGGGACCGCTTTTACACAAGAGCTGCACCGTGGTCGCGCCTCCATTTGCCCCGCTTCTATTAGTCAATTTCCCACTCGAGGCCACGCGGCCGCATTTTGACCTGCAGCTTCACCCGATTTCCCCCGCAGTTTCATGATCCTCAAAAAACAGGATCACAAAACCACGGGGGAAATCAGGCGAAGCCGCGGGTCAAAATGCGGCCACACGGCTTCGAGTGGGAAATTGACCAATAGAAGCGGGGCAAAGGGAGGCGCAACTGCGGCGCAGCTCTTGTGTGAGATCGGTCACTGTCCTACAAACCAGAAACAGAAGACACACATAAGAAATGGAGTGGAGGGGAAAGGTGGTGGAACATGGAAGGCACTCACATCTATCTACCTATGTCTATCCAAGCAACACCAGCCTTGCCTGCACAGCTTGATCAGTCTGCTCAACTCGCTCTACCTGCCTTAAGGCACTGCCTGTATACCAACTTGGCATCAGCGTTGGCTGACTTTGGTCTCTTAAGAGAATGCACCCTCCCTGACATTGTTGCAGCAGGCACAGTCGTTAGTAATTGTTATGCTGCCATCAGAAATTTTTTAATTAGAATTGTTGTGGCTTTTATGAATTACTGTTTATTGTCAAACCATTGTTTATTGTCTTATCAATGTGGGATATAAATTGAATAAAATAAAGAAATATTTATCAGTTTTTTTTAATCCCACCCTTTCTCCTGGGAGCACAGAGTAAGCAGACATGGTTCTCTCCTCGGCTCTATCCTAGGTTAGAATAGGATTTGTTTGTTTATATACTCCATGGATACTCTGCCTTTCTCCCCAGTGGGGAGGAGACCCAAGGCAGCTTACACCAGCCTCTTCTCCTGCATTTTATGACCACAACTGTTAAGTCGCCCACTTAACAAAGAGTCGGGAGAGTGATTCAGCAAGAATGCGGCCTTTATTCTTCAACTCGAACTCACTTCCAACACGGATCAACATCAGTCAGCCAGAACAGCTTTAACACAGCAGCTGCTCTGTATTTAAACATTCCCGGCTAATATAGCCACGCCCTTTGTACAAATAACAACCTATCAGGTTGAGTATATAATGACCAATCACAATCGCTCCCGCTCTGTAATGTGATTGGAAGATACATCCTGGGCTAGTGCTCCTATTGGTTACATTAGGATCCTAGCCCAGGCCGAAGCTTTACATGAGATGGCAATGAGCTGGTTCACATACAACAGTTCCATACAGTTAGTGCATTCAGGTCCATCTGAATACATAACAACAACCATCATGTAAGGAAGGTTAGGCCGAGAGTGTGCGACTGGCCGAAGGTCATTCCATGTTAGAATGGGGATTTGAACCGGAGTTTCCCAGACCCTAGTCGGACACTCTAACCACTGCACCATGCTGGCTCTGCATGAGAGACCACAACTGGCCCTGTGAACTTCACATCCCAGTGGAGCTGGCTATGTGAAAACGAAGGGAGGAGGGAGGGAGAGGATGCAGCCTGTCATTGGCCCTTGGACTGCCGGCTGGTGGCTGCCCAGACCATCCACCTCTCTCACTTTTGCTGGGAGCAGAGTGCAGGAGGGGAGCAATTGAACACCTCATTCTAGTGTTGCATAGTAATTAATGGGATATCTAAGATATCTAAGGAGCTGCGGTGGCTCAAGTGGTTAAGAGGCCGAACTGCAGGCTGTGGAAGGTCCATAGTTCAGCAGTTCGAGACCCAGGTGCCACATGACGGAGTGAGCTCCTGTCTCTAGTTCCAGCTCCTGCCAACCTAGCAGTTCAAAAGCAAGAAATTGCAAGTAGATAAATAGGTACCACTTCAGTGGGAAGGTAACAGCATTCCGTGCGCCTTGGTGTTTAGTCATGCCGGCCACATGACCACGGAAACGTCTTCGGACAGCGCTGGCTCTTAGGCTTTGAAACAGAGATGAGCACCGCAACCCTAGAGTCAGATTCGACTGGCTTTCAAGGGAACCTTTACCTTTTTTAAGGTCAACTAGGAATGCAGGAAATTCTTCTGGGAGTTTAGGCCAGAGGCCAGTATTTACCTGGGAGGGAAGGTGAGCGGAAAGTGGCAAGGGCAGGAGGGAGCATTCTGAATTGTGCCAGAGAATCAAGGCTTAGCTTCTCTGGCCAGCTTACAACCAGCAGCATAAGGGAAGGTTTTACTTTTTTGAGACCGATGTTACTTCAAGCCTGCTTTTTCATCTGCCTGGGTTTCTGCTTGCATTCAATTTCCAGAATTTATCAACAAGTGGATAGCACCCCCAACAAACACAACCCCAAAAATTATTAAAACTAATATTTGCCACACATGGATGACAAAGGGAGACTTTAAACAGGGTCCTCCTGATTCACAGCTCAGTCTTTTTTAGCCACTCTGCTGTGCTAGTCCCTGGATTAATACCATTGAAATCACATGAAATATTAAAACAGAATTGCATTTGGGCTGCTTTTTACATGGCTCCTCGATTCTGCTGCTTTAATGTGTATGTTTTTAAAATATATAGCTATAATGTCAGTTTTCCTGTTTAAAAATTTACAGCCTGTCTTTTTCAAACGGTTCATAGTGTCTGACAAAGTTAAAAGCCGTGAGGACTGTTAAGAGTCTGTAGCTCCCAGGATTTAAGCAAGAGCACTTCAGTTGCATGAAACTTTCTGACGGCTGTATGGGTGGTATGATACCGCCCACTACTCCTGCTGCCCAAATCCACGGCATTCATGCCGTTGCAGATTGATAGGGGAATGGCCCAACAGTGCTTACCGTAGTGAAATGGACTATACAGTACATCGCTATGATCACAATGCCAATGATAATGGATGCAATGGCAACCCAGAAAGCGTTGTGGCCCAGCCTCTTTGACCCTTCTAAGTCTCCGTCATTGTAACTGTTCACAGCCTGCAAAACAGAAATGTTTAAAAATTACAATGACTAATTATTAAAAACAAGCAAACAATGCTGATCCTCAGTTTTCAGTACCGGAGGGCCACAATGTCATGATGACTTTCTGTTTCCAAACTGACCTGAAACCAGGCACCAGATTTGCTACCACAAATTAGACACACCTTTTAAACTCACACTAAGTTACCAATACAGCATTACAGACAGACAAAAGAGTTGGGCTATGTATCCAAATATGATTATGGTTTAATCAATTTAAAAGGACTGCTGAGCGCATTTAAAATCGTGTATCGTTGATCTTAACCCGGGCTAGCCTGGTCTTGTCAGATCTCAGAAGCTAAGCAGGGCCGGCTCTCGTATTTGAATGGGAGACCACCAAGAAATACCTGGGTCACTGTGCGGAGGCAGTCAATGGCAAACCACTTCTGAACATCTTTTGCCTTGAAAACCCTTCAGGGTCGCCATAAGTCAGTTGCGACTTGATGGCAACAACAATTTAAAAATGTTGATCTTACTATGTAGAGTGTTGCACTAGGATCTAGGAGAGCCACATTCTACTCGGCAGGTAAGTCCCACCTTGAAACCGCTGCTGCCAGAAGAATAGGATGCCAGATTCCCTGAAGTGCAGGTCTCATGCCAGGGATGAAAGTCAGTGTGGCTCCTTTGGTTGATGGTAATTGCAAATGTGATTCTTAGTGACTGGCAAAATGAGTACCACCAGGGCTATTTTTGGGCAGGAACGCACAGGAACGGAGATCCGGCTGGCTCCTGAGTTGGCCACGCCCAGCAAGAACTCATTAGCATAATAGGCCACACCCAATAGCAGAAATTTATTAGGATTGGCTACATTAGGGGTGTGTGGCCTAACATGCAAAGGAGTTCCTGCTACAAAAAAAGCCCTGACAACAAACAAGGTAAACAGAATAAGAAGGGAAAGGTGGGTGTGGCTGGATGACCACACTTCTGGTAACATGGGGGTGCGCCCTAACGTGCTAATGAGCGGTGCTGTCAGGGTGTGGCCTAATATGCTAATGTGTTTTGCTGTTGGGTGTGGCCTATTATGCTAATGAGTTCCTGCTGGGCTTTTTCTACAAAAAGAGCCCTGAGTACCACTATTTCAAGCCATTCCTCATTCTTGTAGTCTTTATCTGTGATTCCGGGTCTTCACTTTAGTTAAAGAACTGTAGTACTGTCATGGCCAGGCCAGAGATGCTGGGAGAACTACAATCAGATCTTCCCAGGGGGATGTGTAACTCTTCCACCTTTGCACAGTATCGCCAACTGACCATGCACCTCCCTTCCCAGCTGTGGTCCTGGAAGGCGGGGTGGGGCCAAACTATACACTGAATCCTATTCCCATTAGAGTGGGATTCAAACCAGGACTTTCATTAGCCCAGGGCCAGCGCTTTACATCTTGTACTACAAGTCTTGCTGCTATAGTTAACCCAAGCCAACAGTGCACCCCAAGATGCACTGTCCCTCCTGGTCTGAGATCATATTACTTCTGGCACTCCAGGAGCTAATCACAAAGCCTTGTGCCCTGAAGCTTAACAATTTGGAAGCAGAAGATTTTTTTACAGACTGGAAAGATTTTAAGGGCTATTTAGAAAAGAATTGGGAAGTAAGGGATGGTTTATTTAGCTTTGACAACTATTAATTGTTAATAGATATTAAAGAATTAGATTAAGATGTAATACCAAACTATAGAAGGGTAAGTTACCTATAGATGTGTGTAAGGAAAATGAAAGGAGGAGGTGAACTTGATTTAAGAATTGAGCAGGAGGTTGGAGCACTGTGGGAAGCCGAATTGGGGGGGGAGGGAGGAGGGGAGGATGTAGTGGTTTTAAGTGTGTGAAGTATATTTGATTGTGTTTATTATATCCTAATAAAATGTTTATTAAAAAAAACCAAAGCCTTGTGCCCTGTAAACCCTAGCTTTGTAGACTGAGTCTGGAGAGCTGGTCAGCAAGAGAAGCCTTGTCTAAGACCTGTGTTTCATGTGGCTGTTCCTTTGCTAAAGCCAGTCTGACTTCCTCAAATATGACTCCTACTTGCCTTGGATTATGGGTCTTGCCCTTGGCCCTTTAGACAGCTCACTCAGAATCATGACTCTGGCTTGACCCTTACTTTTGCCTCTGGCCCTGTGCCTTGAAGTGCCCTCATGTGCCTGTCAACTTTAGCCATGTAGCCATGGTGCAGGTCTTGTTTCCCCAGGCCAGGTAGGCAAGAAGAGCTTTGTCTGGGTTCTTTTGTAAGATTTGTTCAAGGAATAGGGTTGCCAACCTCCAGGTGGTAACAGCATCCAAAACAGGAATCGCAGTGGAAAAGGTACAAAGGCAAGAAAGCGCCGTGTATACAACGAAAATATGAGAAATAATATAATTTAATGTATACTGTAAATGCAAAGTCAAACAGTAACAAAATAATATATTCATAAATGTACTATAATATAAATCATATCAAAAATCATGTAAACAAATATGGTGCACTAGGCACAATCATTCAACAAAGACTAGTCCAAAGACTCTATACGTCTTGCAGGTGTCTTGCTATGTGCAAAGCGGCAAGCCAGGATGTTTATTCAAGACACTGCTGTAAGGAGGCAATCTGAAACCCCGTCACTGCGAGAGAAATTATTTGACAGCTTCCCAGATGTATCAGCCGTTTCCAGCCTTCTTTCTCAAGAATCGCTCTTGCAATTCCTTGTTTAAATCATTCTCTAGGAACCAATCTCCAATATGATAACATTTTCTTTCCCCATGGGATTTTTGATATGATTTATATTATAGTACATTTATGATTATATTATTTTGTTACTGCTTGACTTTGCATTTACAGTATATATTAAATTATATTCTTTCTCATATTTTTGTTGTCTACACGGCGCTTTCTTGCCTTTGTACCTCCAGGTGGTGCCTGGAGATCTCCTGCTATTACAAGTGATCCCCAGGCGACAGTTCGCATGGAAGAAATGGCCGCTTTGGAAGGTGGACTCTGTGGCACTATACCACATTGAAGCCCCTCCCTCCCCAAACCCCGCCCTCCTCAGGCTCCACCCCCAGAATCTCCAGGTGGTTTCAAACCTGGAGCTGGCAACCCAATCATCAGGGTTGATTTTCTAGGGAAGGACCCAGGAAATGTGCTCAGCAAGTTTATTTAACAGATGTTTTGATGCTTCAAGCCTTAAAGGAGCAACCGGCAGCCTCGATAAGTATGAAAGAAATACAGGTTCCAAAGGACAACACACGCTAGTCACTACTGCTCTTTGGAGTGAAAGTTATGACACCAGAGAGCCAGGGAAGCAGGAATGGATGGACCATCAGATTTTGATCAGCGAGCCTTGAGTTCAAATCCCTGTCATCAGCTGCAAATCTCACTGAATGGCCACTCAGCCTAACATACTTCACAGGGTTGCTGTGAAGATCAAGGCCATTTCCATAGGGTTACCTTACCTAGGTTCAATGCTGTTGGGAAGTGGGGTTTTTCCTGCTTCCCCAGAGCATTGTGATGCATTCATGTACCTCTCAAAGTTTCTTCAGCTTTTCTGTGATCTCTCTCAAACCTGCTCTGATCCATAGTTTTTGGAAAGTTCACAGTAAGCCCTGGTTGGCTGTTGTGTGGGTCGGAAAATTCAGATTTTTCCACCCACAGAGCAGCCGTTTCTCTTGCCACTGTCCCTGCAGGTGTGGGCCTGCCTGCCAACACATCCTCGGGTGAGGAAGAGATGGAGAAAGCTGGCCTCAGCCCTCTGTTGCTACAGGACAACCCACCAGTCAAAGTGGAGACTCCATCAGCTGCAGAGGGGAAGTCTCAGCTGGCAGTCAGCATGCCACACCCTGCAGCCCAGAATGGGAACATAAGAGAAGCCATGTTGGATCAGGCCAATGGTCCATTCAGTCCAAACTGTGGTTCAAACCCAGGAAGCTGAAGCAGAGGTCCTGCAGCCACCACCCTCACCCCTAGGGTCGCCAGAGCCTTTGGAGTGCTGGAGAAGGTGGGCCTGGAGGGAGGTGCAGGAGCGGCGCTGTAGTGCCCTGTTGGCAGTCCAGGCAACCTCTGCCTGAGAGTTGGAGTAATTGCAGAACCAGGTCTAACAGCCCTGTAGGCTGCTCAGCCATTGAGGACTTGCACCCTTCCCTGGATGACTCAGCAGGTTGAGGAGTTACCTTGAATGATTCCTGATAAAAGCATCCAGAAAAGGGGGAGGCAACTTGTCAACAGCTCTTGTGTGCTTTGGTCTGCTGGAGTGGGACCTGGCTTGTACTCTTTGGATTTGCCCTTCTGGTTTGACACTGTCACACCTGGATCCTGGAATACAGCACCCTGATCCGTCCACTTTTGACTAGCTTTGTTTTGACCCTGGACTGTTTTTGGACTATGCCTCCTGTCCCAGGTGCCTGCCTGAACCAGGGAAGTAGGAGCCATTTCTCCCCCACCCCCCGCCACAGGGGGGCTTTCAATTTTTGAATAAATCCATACTAGTATATTGTTATATCAATATACTGTTGTGATGACATGTGTAACAGCTTCTCTGAATTCCCAGCCTTCAGTTCTTTTTTTTTTTTAAGTATGTCTCCAGCCCTTTTCCTTGCATATATATAAAAGGAAAGGCATCTCTCTACAACTGGGCTAGAGATACTCATTATAGCTGGGAATTCAGAGAATCTGTTACACATAGGGTGCGTTCAGACGGGGCGTTTCTGCCGGCATAAACTGTACTGGTTGGAACTGGTGCAGTTTATGCCGGCAGAAACGTGATCACACTTACCTCCCTCACAGCGGAACCCATCGCAATACGCCCGTCCACACTCGTCTTCGGTTTGTTTTTTTTAACTTAGTTTGCGCATGCGCATAGGCAGCCATCCATAGAATGGCAATCTTCGCGCATGCGCAAAAAACCCTGTCGTACATTTAAACTTTAACGGTAAGGACTTACCGTTAAAGTTTAAAGAGCACAGTAGCCTCCCTGAGGTCCCGGACGCCTCCGAAACGCTACA